AGCATATGTATGGATAGTGATATACCCACGATGAGTTGGTAATTATTATGGCAGCAGCTTTGTGGCTTTGTTTTACATAATTCTAAAGTAAATGTCATGTTTCTTCTTTAGGGATTCCAGGCCTGGTATTCAGAAAAGCATATGTTTCCAAGTAGATAGCTGGTCACGGGGAGCTACTCTTTCCCAAACAGGAGCGTTCATATAGCTTGTACACTGAGCCTTAGGAAGTGCAGACCGCCACTATTCTCTTGGGAATTGAAATGCAATTACATACCGAGGACAAGTGCTAAATATAAACGGAAAAGGCCAAATACATGCCTTTATTTTTTTTTTGCTTTGTTTTTGCTGTATATTTGCAGAAAGAATTAACCACCCCAAACACACTATAATCCTTAATTGAAACATGCAGATCAGACAACTTGGTGACTCCTTCAGCATCTTTTTTTTAGAAGCTTATTGTATCTCTGAAGGACTGACTTTACTTATGTCCATAACCATTGTAAAGCTGCTAAGAAAAGTAATAAAAGAAGCAAGTCACTAAGAATTATGTAGAATGAAATAAGATTATATATGCTTTAAATATTAAAAATAGGCAGTATGTTGCATGAGAATACATAAGCAAGGGGCAAAAACTATGTAAATGGGAGTGATTATTGTAAAAACATATATATTTCTTTGGGAAAGGATGGAAATACAGTCTGCATGGTGCATAGAGGCTTATTTACTGCATAGTGATCTACAGGTGTTCGTTGTTGTTCAATAATAGTATACAATTTTAATTTAGGTATGTTATATTTTCTAATTTTAAAAAGAAGCTTGATGCCTATAGCCTATAGCACAGTAGTTATGGTGCCAGCCACCTATACTGAAGTTAGTGGGTTCAAAGCCAGCTTGGACCAGCTAAACAACAATGACAACTGCAACAAAAAATAGCCAGGCATTGTGGTAGGTGCCTGTAGTCACAGCTAGTTGGGAGGCTGAGGCAAGAGAATTGCTTAAGCCCAAGAGTTTGAGGTTGGTGTGAGCTGCGATGCCACCGCACTCCACCATGGGCAACATAGTGAGACTCTGTCTCAATATAATAATAATAATATAAAAAGTGGAAAAGGAAAATAAAAACAGCAAAGAGAATGAACAAATTAAGCTGGTAAAAAATCAATATAATGTAGTAGTAATAATAATAATAAAAGCGAATATAGCAATTTTTAGTTCAGGATATATTTTTATATTGTACTTTTAATAAATTTAGATATATGCCATGTACAAGACACAACTAAGACATAATTCCCTAGAAGGTTTGAAGGTGGAATTATGGGAGGCCAGACACGGTGGCTCATGCCTGTAATCCTAGCACTCTTAGAGTTGGAGGCCGGCGGATTGCTTGAGCTCAGGAGTTTGAGACCAGTCTGAGCAAGAGTGAGACCCTATCTCTACTAAAAATAAAAAACTAGCTGGGTGTCTTAGTGGATGCCTGAGGTGCCAGCTATTTAGGAGGCTCAGGCAAGAGAATCCTTGAGCCCAAGGGTTTGAGGTTGCTGTGATCTATGATGCCAGGACACTCTACCCAGGGTGACTGACTGAGATGCTGTTTCAAAAAAAGAAAAGAAAAAAAAGAAAGAAAAGGAAAAGAAAAAAGAAAAGAAAGTGGAGATATGGGAAGAGGTATATCAGACAAATACTTACAAAAGGAAACTACTGTAGCTATATAAGTAAAGGGAAATTGGATTTTAGGAAAAAATGTAATGTTAATTCTGTTTCCAAGTCCTATTTCCCCATTCATTCCCTGAGCCGGCTCTATTCAGACATCTGCTTCTAACACTCCAGAACTTTTAATAAATCATCTCCACCTATTTTTGTCTTATTCCAAGTGAACCACTTTCAAAGTCCAGCATGTTTAATTTCTCAACTCTGGTAGTACTTACTTTGATGTACCACTGATTTAGTAACTTGTATGCAATGCAGTGTCTTAGTGTTGCTTATATTCATGTATTTCTTTTATTCAATTATTATATGCTAGAGCCAGAGACAATGATTATTTTTGTTTAAGTACTGGTCACCTCACACTAGGACTTGTCAGATAGTGGAACCATGTCACCTGGCATTATCATATGATAGAAAGTCAATCAACATGTTAGCAGCCAACTGAAAAACGGCCTCTGAAAGAGTGTTAAAAGCTCTTTCAGGACATGTGAGTACTTTGTCAATACTATACACATGAGTTTTCTGATCAATCTTCCAGCCAAAATTTTAAAAAAGAAAGAGGGAGAGATACACACTATGGTCAGAGAGTGACCCTAAGCTGTGTGGCGTTGATGAGTCTGAGCCCACAAACCCAAGAAGGAAGAAGGTGCCCGCCTCTGGACTTCACTGGAGACTGTCACAGGTTCAGGACTGTGACCTTTAGGGACAGGGAGCACACCTGGGACAAGGCCTAATATATAATACACAGTCAGTAAAAGATTCTGCAAAGTGCGAGAGAGTCTAGGGTAATATAATTTAATCTCAGGGCTCAATGTATAATATAATAATATACCTCAATGTATAATTGAAGGTTTTTCAGTAGAGTCTTTAGCTCTGGCTTTCAGAAGGGGAGAACAGAAGGGTGAAAAAGCCAGCTCAGAAGAGGCAGGATGCAGGTGTTTGCTTTACACTTGGGGCTGTTGTGGTTAGGGACCGATTGGAGCAAAGCTGAATAGAGGGGACTTGGTGTTGCTGGCTGGCGCTAGACTGCAGTTTTTTGTTTGTTTGTTGTTTGTTTGTTTGCTTGTTTGTTTTGTTAAAAGGAGATGTGGAAACCAGTGGAAAAGATTTTCAGTACTTGTCCTGCTGGTTGTCAAGAAGTAGCTGGAGTCCTCCTTTCTCCAAGCATGTGAGATATGCTGTCTGCTGTAAACTCTTTTAAGCATAATCTTTTGGAATAGGAAATATATAAAGCATGTTGTACAAAACTCAAAAGGTACAGTAGGGTATATGGAAAAATAATCAGCATTCCTCTCACCTCTGTCCATAGTTTCTTTCTTTAGAGACGAGCATGTTTATCAGTTAGTCCATTTATTTTTAGATTTACATAAATATTTCCTATTTGATAAATGTATATATGTTTCTCTGATAAATACAGAGGGTGCCCCCCAAATGTACACACATTTTAAAAAGGAAAAAAAGAACTGTATTCAAATTGTAATACTTAATATATACTGATGACATTTGGCTTCTACAGTTATAAGAGATACAAGATAACAAATGTTATAGGTATATATTGAGTGTTACAATTTGAATACAGCTTTTTCCCTTCTTAAAATATGCATACATTTTTCAGTCACCCTCTGTGATTCATATGACATACTATATTGAATTTTGCTCCCCCCATTTGACAGCTTTTCCTATAGTTCTGTCCATTTTTATTTTTAAATCTTCTTGTTTTTCTTTTTTTGAGACAGGGTTTCACTGTGTTGTACTGAGTAGTGTGCTTGGCATCATAGTCTCTTGGGCTCAGTCTCTTGGGCTCAAGCAATCCTCCTGCCTCGGCCTCCTATGTAGCTGGGACTATAGGCGCCTGCCACAACACCAGGCTATTTTTGAGATAGGGGTCTCATTCTAACTTAGGCTGATCTCAAACTTCTGAGCTCCAAGCAATCCAACTGCCTCGGCCTCCCAGACTGCTAAGATTACAGGTGTGAGCCACCATGCGCAGCCCTCCATTTTAATTTTTATCATGTAAAAAAAGCCCAGCATCTAGTACTATTAATATACTGATAGTCCAACATTTGTTTCATGTGCTGAATGAATGAATGATTTAATAATAGTCTATAATTCATCCAAACCTTAAAGTCACCCAACAATACCTTTTATAAATGCATTAACTTAAGCCCCATATCTAGTATGTGACTTTTTTTTAAAATAAATGTTGTATCCACCCTTTAAAGTAAATCTCAAAAAATATATATTCCAGGAACCTTCTCTGAATATTGATTCTCAATCTGTCCTCTAAGAGTTATCTCTAAGCACTTAAAACATTCTACCATTCCTGATTTCCTTCTAATCTTTGTTAATAAAAATATCATAAAGATGAAAATAACACTCAATGATTTTTGTGAATTAAAAAAATCTATGTTCATGAGTACTTATTTGTGCCAGACACTTCACTAAGTACATAATATGCATTATCTCATTAATTCATACAACACACTCATAAAGTTGCCTCCTTATCCTTGTAACGTACCTGTCACTGCCCTGCCAATGTTACTTTGACTTACCTGAAATCGTGTGCAGACCATTTCCTTCTATGCTGGTGGCTTTTCCCACCTTGCTGCTTTAATGGTCTCTGGAGACTGTGCTTAGCCCAAGTGGGTCGGTCAGAAGTGCCAAAATATTGACACTCCAAGAGTAACCTTTAATCAGTGAGCTATGGACAATGGTGGATAATTTTTTTCTTCCTCTGAAGTGGGAGAATCTTGAATTGTATTCCTCACAGCCATTTCCAGGACCCTTGTGTGTTCCCCTTAGCAGAACCCCCCTTATTACCTTTCCATCCTTCCCTGTCTCAGTCTCCTATTTGTTGTACTCCTGGAATCACCTCTCAAATAAATTACTTATACACAAATCCTAGCCTCGCCAAATCTAAGGAAATAGGTTTAGAGTACTTGAGTAACTTTCAAGTTCACCTATACATAGTACATTATATGGCAGATGCAGGCTGTGGAAGCCACGATCCAAAGCACCATCCCTTTCTAGATGGTGAGCTCCTCAAATCAGGCCACTGAACACTGTGGGAGAAACAGTGTGTTTCAAACCACAAGCCAAAGTCAAGTTTTAATGCGTACTCCTGCTGGCCAATGTCATTTTATGTTTGGAGTGTCACTCTTTCGCCGCGGCACCTTAGGACCTTACATTTAAGAGTTAGCTAAATCCATATGCTTAACATTTATACTGAAATTGCGCTATACAAAAGATTTTTTCCCACTTGTTTAGTTGATGAGCATTTTCTCTTTGTTTTTCTACAGACAGCAACTTCATCCTTGCCAATGCCCAGGTGGCTAAGGGTTTCCCCATAGTCTATTGTTCTGATGGCTTCTGCGAACTTGCTGGATTTGCCCGCACTGAAGTCATGCAAAAGAGTTGCAGCTGCAAGTTCTTATTTGGGGTTGAAACCAATGAGCAACTGATGCTTCAGATAGAAAAGTCACTGGAGGAAAAAACAGAATTCAAAGGAGAAATTATGTTCTACAAGAAGAACGGTGAGTTGGCCTTCTTTGGTGAAAATTGAAGAGTTGTGAGAGTTTGTCTTCTTTTAGCTCAGTCATTTCTGCATAAATCCCATTAAAGCTTAATGGTAATTCACATACATATAGTCTGTTAGAGAAGTGCCACAGGTGACTTGGATGATGGCCTTTTGTCAGCCATTTGGGGCATAAAGTGCCTGGAAATTTAGAATTAGAAGTAGAATTATTCAATGTCAGTATCTTAATATTAACTGAGTTAATACATATTAAAAATAATAATCACAATAGTATTGTGATTCTTAAAGTATGTATTATATATGATAGTTGTTGATATATTTATCAATGTTTATCCAGGGGTATCTTCCAAATATTATGTATTTAAAGAACCACATCTTAATTTTAGTCATTAAGGACAGAGATCAAGTGTTTCCTGCAAAAAAAGAAAGTTAATTTGAAAGACAGCAGCATACACATTTTCTCTTCCAGTTCCTTGGCTACAGAGCCTTTCTTAGTATTCACTTTAATCTGAAAACAAAACGAAAGATACATGGGGTCTCAGGCTGTAGTAAATTTGCCTAAAATCAAAACTGCCAACTGAGAAAATATGAAGTATTGGGGGGGGGCTGCATTTTAGTGATTCTCTTCTAAATGAAAAAGAATGTAGAAATGGAGATGGTGTCTACAGTCCTTGAGTCTTGTGTCGGAATAGATATAACGAGCCAAGGGGGCCTGGGAGTTGAAGTCAAGAGCTAGTGTATGAGACATGAATAAGAAGCCATGACCAAATGTACCATCTCTTAAATCAAAAAGGTAGAACAAACCAGCATTTTCCCCGTATCCAAAGTTCTCCCTTTCTTTAATAGCTTTCTTTATTCCTTCCTTATGGTAACATAACCCTCTGAATTTACCTGTATCCATGTGTACCAGGTTGGAGAATATATTCCTCAGCCTTCTTTGTAGTTAGATTGGTCTTATGTCTAAGTTTTAGTCTTTGATACATGAAAAGGAATGATTTATGTAACTTCTGAGTAAACTCTCTAAAGTGAAATTATTATTTTCCTCTAATGTCTTTCCTTCCTCTTTTCTATGCAATTATGGACGAAATTGTGTCCCACCAAAATTCATATACCAAAGCCATAACCCCTCCCCCATGTGATGTATATGGAAATAGGGCTTTTAAAGAGGTAATAAAGGTTAAAAGGGGCCATAAGGGGAGACCAGATCCAATATAATGAGTGTCCATATAAAGTGAGGAAGAGGCACCAAGTATGTACACACGCATATACAGGGAAAAGACTAGGTGAAACTATAGTAAGAAGGCCCCTGTCTGCAAGCCAAGGAGAGAGGTCTTAGGAGAAACCAAATATACTGGCACCTTGATATTGGACTTCTAGCCTCCAGAATTGTGAGAAAGTAAATTTCTATTGTCTAAGCAACCAGTCTGTGATATTTTCTTATGTCAGCTCTAGCTAACAAATACATAAGTGTTCAAAACTTAAGGCAATGCTGAAAAGCCAACTTTAACCATTGGACAAGGACAACATCAAAGTGGAATGCAGAGCAACAAAATAGAAGGAACCTGGGCATTGTTACAGCTCCCCCTTTCTACTCCAGGCAAAAACAAATGCATTTCTATCTTGTTTGCATCACTATATTTTGGGGGTCTTTATAGAACAACATTTAAATTGTACTCTTTCTCAGGGTTTCTCAGTATTGTCAGTATTGACATTTGGGCTAGTAATTCTTTGCAGTGGGAGGCTGCCCTGTCCTGGAAGGCTGGGTTCTATATCTTACTCTCATTACTTTGGAGCATTGAGGTCAATGTCAGAGATTAAAAAAAAAAAAAAAAAAAGAGCTTACACATCACTCCCTTTTGTAAGTTATTTGTCTTTGGAGGACATTCTCTGATCATGTGGCTTTTGAATAATAGTAGTCCCAAAGTATTGGAGAATACCCCTTTGGCACAGGATACCTCAATTCTTTGGCACCAGGAACACTATTCAGAACATTGTGTGTCAATAGATAAGGCCTACATAGCAAATATGATAAAACAAAAGAATTCCAGCTCTGTGTAATTATACCAGGATCATTGAAATGAGGGCGTAGATAAAAGTAAATGGAGGACGTCACTGAGAATGTAGACTGGCAAGGAGTGATAAAACTACTATCTGGTGGAACAAAGGGGATAGGATAGCCTTTGTCTGAAAAATCCGCTGACTGCAGGCTTGTCCTTCTTAAGATTGGTGCCTTTGTAGGTCACTCCAAATCCATTTGAGGGTTTTCATTTTTAAGCTTTTTCAGAATAGTCAAATGTGGCACCACGGGAAAATGTTCAGGCTAAGGAGGAGAGTCTAGGTGTGAAGACCAGAAAGTGAAGGTTTTAGGACTAGATAGGTAGAGAGTATGGAGAAGAGGGTGGGAGCCCACACCCAAAAGAATCTCCTGAGCTCAGTTTTTTATAAGAAGGCCACAGCATCAGACGCACTCAGGTGGAAATCATTAAAGGCACCAATCCCCTCTAAGCGTGCCACCATGGGGAATTGTTGTTAGACATTCTGAGCAAACTAATTGATCCAGTTACGAGTGATTGAAAATTGCCGTCCACCCTCAGCTAATCATGCTGTATTAAAGCTATTTATATAAGTATCTGTCTGTGCACACAGCGGCAAGCCTTTGGAGGCAGAGGCTGTACATCTGTATCTCCACTTCCCCGGTGCCCGGAGCCTTGAGTCTTGAGCACTGTGTGTCAGAGGGTGGTTTCTTAGTAAATGTTTACCGAAGGGAATTGGAATTGATTATTAGAGGGACCTATGGATACTTTACAAGATGTCTGGATTTCTGATTTTAAAAGATATGCTTCTGATCTTAAGGGTCCTCCTTCCTGCCTTCAAAAGTCATTTTCTTTATAGACATTTTCTTTTAGAAAGTGGATCCTTGTCTGATCCTCCCCCAATACATTTTGACATTCTGTGATTGTTCTTCTTTGCCTACAGGTTGCTGTTGTTCTCCTGACCTTGTAGAAAAAATGATGGGGAAAAGGCTTCCCTTTCTTTTCCTGCCCATGCCTGTAATTCCAATAACCAAACACCTCAGGTCATGGAGCAGAGTGTACTGAAAGTTTAGGATGTCTATTAGGACTTATAAAGGGAGACATACTCAGAACAGGATGGCAGATACGACTGCTGAATTGAGTCCAAAGGAAAATAAAAGTTGACTCTCTCACTGACACTGACTACTTGCCAGAATCCCTGTTTAAGACCTTGCTTCAAGTCTTGAAATCTGCCCTTCCCCTGCTCCCCCATCATAAAGACAGCCCCTCCTTTCATGCTTTACTGATCAAATACCCCCAGATTCTTGAGGCAAACCTATTCTCTGTCCACTACAGTTGTTCTTCCTTGAGGATCTGCCCCCATCTCCTGACCCAGGAAAAGTGTGGAACGCATTATTCTCCAGCAGATCTCATACTCCAAAGCAGAGTAATTCAGCTCAAAACAAACCCATAGAGGGATTTGAAAAACTAGTCCACATCTGTCTGATTCCTTTTCTTATCATCTCTGTTCCAGTATAATATGAATATATGCTCCTTTCTCTCTGTGGTATTCTGGTTTCCTCTAGGCAACATATAGAAAATAGTCACGGTGAAACCTGCGGGCCGTGCACACATACACACAGACTTCATCAAATATTCAATAGTTATGAGAGAGTACAACCTTTTAACAATTCAGTGGTTACAAAAATAGAAGTATAATAATAGCTAATATTTATATAAAATTATATGCTAGAAAAATGTTCCAAACATTTAACTTTTACGTACAAGTTTAGACAATGAAGTTTGTGAACTCAGACCCACTTCATCGCTGCAGGTCACTATGCTCATCTTTGAAGCACTCTCCCCTTGCTGCACTGAGGCCAGCACCTAGCTCACCCTTCACAGCACTTTTTCTGGAATGAGTTTGTGAATTTACTTGTCACAATTTTATACAACAACATCTCTGAGTTCCCAAATCGTTTTGAAGGGTGTTCTAGACACTGGCATCAGTTCATAGGTTCCCCAGGGGAGCACCTTGAAGGTGACCACAGTGATCTTCAGCAATGAGGTATTAGCACTATTTCTGGAGTGAGTCTGAGAACTTAATTGTCTGATATTGTCTATTAGCCTATTTGGTCCAAGGAAGACATACTCTTTTTATTGTTATATTATAGGTGAGGAAACCAAAATAGAGAAAGGATCATTTTTTAAAAATTTGTAATTATTAGAAAGAAAAATAGTTTCACAAATAAATATCATATGAAATGTTTTTCTGTTTAAAATGGAAATGGAAATATTTTGCAGTTTTATGCTCAGAGGTGATAGTTCTCATTTTCCCCTTTTACTGTTATCTGCATGTATTTTATGCTGCGTCTATTCCCATGCTATAAGTTTTGGTTTCTTCAGTTTCTTCTGGGGTATCTTTTTCTTCTGTGCTACCTCCTCTTCTGATTTGGGAACAATTTGTTCCTTTTTGGTAAGGATCATCTTGATGTGGCAGGGGGAGCTCATGTCTGGGTTAATGTGACCATGAGCTCTGTAAGTTCGGTGACACTTCTTGGGTGCTTTGTTCACTTGGATATGTTCAATGACCAGAGAATCTACATCTAAACCCCTAAGTTCAGCAGTAATCTCTGCATTTTTAAGCATGTGCAGCAAAAATTCAACACACTTTGGGCCACTGACTTGTGTCCAGCCCCTCTGTTTGGCCTGGGCACACCTGCCAACTCCACCATTGTAACGTCGGAGTGGTACACATTGTTTCTTTAAAGTAGCATCCTTCATGTATTTGGTGGCTTTCCGTATATGCATACCCTTGATGGCCAGGTCAGTTTGAAGATTGTTTGTTGCAAAATGCATTAACCAGAGCCACTCTGGGCAAATAGATAAGAGGCCGCCCTAACTAAGGGTAACCATTTCAAAACATTGATGTTTATTTGCTCATCATTTTTTAATATAAGCAATACATACATGTTGAGGTTCTCAT